CTCCTCCTCCTCCTCCTCCTCCTCCTCCTCCTTTGGATACGGAAAAATCTAAATTTCAGAGGCTATGCCCTATTGAAACCGTTTTCAGCTTTTGGGTCCCCTACCATACTAGTACTAGCTACACCCAACAGATCCTACGTACCTTAGCTTGCGTTATTACATACGAAACAACAGGAAAATGTATTATCAAAAGAAAACACTAAAAGAAGAATTTGTTTGTTGTGACCATGCCCACCAGCCAGTAACATTGGCAATTGTTCGCAATGCTACCATAACCTTTTGTCAACAATGTGGTTGTCGTCAACATCATTGAAACTGATTTTGCCGGGTGCTTTTGTTGGGTCTTTGTTGTTGCTGTTGTTATTACTTTTGTTATTGTTATTGTTGTTGTGGTTGTTTTTGTCGTTGTTGTTGCTGTTGTTGTTATCATTGTCGTCGTCGTTATTGTTGTTGTTGCTATTGTTATTATTATTGCTGTTGTTGTTGTTGTTATGGTTTTTGTCGTTGTTGTTGTTGTTGTTGTTGTTGTTGTTGTTGTTGTTGTTGTTGTTGTTGTTGTTGTTTTCTTAGGGGTGTTGGGGGTGATGCAAAATAATTAGTAGTAGCGCGTGAACGTTGTTCAGACATCTTACCGCGAACAGATGGCACATGGTGACAGACAGGCCGATGGTGAGGGGGGCGGACCCTTTCAAGTCTCGTCTCTTCCCGTCACAGGAGGCGAAGACGGTGAGAACAAGGACGAAAGTGATGAACAGCTCCACGCCGATGCCTGATGGAAAGGAAGACAAGCTTGTTATGGACAAGGGTGACCATTACAACCATCATCACCATCATCATCATCATCATCATCATCCAGAATTTTGGCAGCCTTACCAACCCCCCCCCCCCCACACACACACACACACACATACACACACAAACACACGCACACACACACAATTCTCGTCATTACATTCATCATAATCTGCAGTTGCAGCAGCAGCAACAGCAGCAACGTCTTCCGTATTGTTATGTTTAAGCAGTTGGTTATTAAATATGTATTACAGTCGTTGAACTACATAAAAATGCACCTGAAATATGATTACTCCTTGGGGTTGCTCTTTACGTCACGTTTAATTGATAGGAAGGAAATCTTGTTTTAAAATAGACTGCTTTTGTGCAAAGTCCGACAGCCAGTGAACCGTTCAAAGGATAAATCAAGAACACCATTTTAACTTAAACGGTCTGCTGCAAGTCACGATTACAAGCCTTTGTACCTTTTTTTTTAATTCGCTTCTTCTAGTTCACTTGGATATCATTACTTTGGAAGCAAAAACAGAAGGCAGCGAGGAAGGGGGAGGCCTAACAGAAGATGGGAACAGGACATAGAAACCTGACCTTGGAATCAGAACAACTCAGGCAGGTAGAATGGTCAGAGACAGAGTGTTTTATTGCAGGAAGGTCCGAGAAGCAACGTCCACCTTACTGGAAAAGCTAAGAAGAAGAGGCAGAAATTATACGTTGCTCTACACGTCATTCAAGGATGAGTCAGTAAAGTCAGCGTGGTGTGGTGATCAAGACACTTGCCTCGTAATGCGATGGTCCAGGGATCGATCCCACCTGGAATTGCAATATATTCCTATCAGGGAATTTTTAAAGCTTTTTAGTATTGACTCATTCCTGTCGCAGTCATGAATTCGTTGTTGACAATTTTAATAGATTACTGATCTCTCTTAAAAGAGGAGTTTAAACATAACACCACCAGATGTATCATTCATTATCCTGGCTGTTTATAGTGATTCACGACTTTTTAATACAGATATTACTCATAGTTAACCGACTGAAAACCACCGGTTGTCAGCCCCGACTCCCGACAGGTGATGTGAAATCTGATCCTGGGGTTAGAGAATATCATTGACATTGTTCCGTATTACAGAACGAGTGAGTCATTCATCGCCCGATACATTATTATCTCCAGGTGATCCAGCTGGGGTTTACAGAAGTAAGGGTGAGTCGTTCATGTAGTTGAGAGTGTAGTAACTACTATTTCCAAACAGGGAGGTTGAAGACAGTGAAGCAGTTAGTAAGTGTGAAGCAGCTGGTAAATGTGAAGTATAATAAGAATGTTTTTGTAAGAGATCCCAGACGTAGCTTTTTTTCATGCTATCTTTTACCATTCAGCTCTGACGCTGAAGAATTCGCCCACTTTGAGTGTTAATATCAGGAAGGTATCAGGTGAAAAATAAGAGTTGTCAGTTTTTAGATGATTTGATTTGAGATATTGGTTGGAAAGTGTTTCAAACCTATTCTGACCAATCTAAGTGTCCAGAGTTAAAACCTGATGAGTTGCCCAATGCCAAGCTTGGAAAAAATGATAAGCTATACGGTGAAAATCGTGACCTGTCGAGTTTTTCATGTTTGTTATCTTAAAATCTCCAAAAATGAAATTCCTTGTTAATTTACTTTTCCCCTTCATATAAGTACATAAAATATGTATAACAATTTCCGTCCCTTCTTTAATTTTGAGTCATGAGATATAATATATCACACACTGTCTGTAGTGTGCTGTAATGATTATATTGTTTTTATAAAAGTTTTGGAGACCAGCTTGAGTAGACAAATGTACACTGGCGTCTGCGACATAGCCGTTAGTCACTTCGCAGTCGAACAAAGGCTATCCATGTTCGATTCCCATATGGGGAGAATTTGTATCGATTGACACAGGCTTGCTACCGATAAGTTGTACCCCTTTCAGTTGGTCCTGGCAGGTAGAGTCCAAACCCGCAAACTATATAATCAAAATTGTGTCTATTGGGGCACAAAAAACGTATATTTATCAAAGACAAAATTACATATACGATAGTTGGAATAACAACAATAACGAGTGCAGCAAAAAATGAAGTAGAAAAAGCAGCACCGACAAGGGTAAGAGCAGCGGAGGAAACAATGACGATATAAACAAGCACTCTTCCGTCATCAACCTCACTGTAAACCCCATATCACCAACAACCTACAAAAAGCCACAACGAAAACGACAACAACAACAACAACAAATACAGACAATAACAACACTAACAACAACAATAACAACAAGGACGACAGAAGTATCAACAGTACCAACAACATAATAGAACGACGACAATGCTCTTTCATACTTTACATCAGCTATTCGGGTGGGAGTCACAACCACGCGCCTGCCTGAGGGATCTAGTGTTAGCACCAAACGAAGAAATAAACTAACATCATGACTAATCTGCACATCATACTCAACATTTCAGCATCATCGTCGTCGACGTCATCATCATCATCAACATCATATCATCATCATCATCACCACCATCGTCATCATCATCATCATCATCATCATCATCATCATCATCATCATCATCATCATCATCATCATCACCACCACCAAATACCAATACATTTTCTTTTTCCTTTTTTCCGATTTTTTTTTCTTGAAGCATAACTTATTATCATACCTTTGACACATTTTTAAAGTAGCTTATGAATATCTGCACCAAATCTGGACACAAGACAAAAAAATAAGAAGACAAAATGAAATAATTCTCGGATGTTAGCCCTTTTGACACTGATAGATACACAAAATTTTCAGGTTAGGTTTGGAACAGTTCAGTACAATATGGAATGATAAAACACATAGTTTACTTGAAAACAATTTAAAATTTGAAGTGTCTGTTTTCGGCCGACATCTTCATTCGTAGATTGCGAGAAGTAACTCATTTTGTCAACACGCCTCACACACAAACAACGACCACACACGCACTCACCTTGGCCCACACTGACGTGGTCGCCGAGCAGAGTGGCGCCCAGATTGTTCCTGAACTCATTGGGAGTGAGCCCATACAGGATACCTGCACCCACAGTGGCGCCGATCAGCTGGGGAAGACAAATTAAATTGTTTGGCAGCGTGGTGAAACCAAGCTCTCGACAAAATAATATAATCAAAGAAATTGTCGTATAAGATCCTTTGAAATTTTTGTTCCCATGTTATCTTCTTTTTTTTTTTGAAGGGGGGGGGCGCAACACCTTTTACGTTAATTCAAAAACACATTTATGTGTGGATTTTACTGAAAATGTTGATCAAAAGCACCCAAAATAATGCAAATTTACAGTCGCCATGGACGCTTAAGCTTTGGAAATCACCTAACTTCAGCGGGTATTTTCTTGAAAATGTTACCTCAGAAACCAAGCGATCCCTACCTCCTTCAATTGCAAATATCTCGACTTCTATTCAAGATAGAAGTGTAATTTTTTTCATCGAAAGTAAAACAAATGAATAGGCTGTAAAATGATACAAAGAACTCCACATGCCCAAAAATGCTAACCGACTGATTTCACCACGTCGTGACACAATAATTGTTATCTTTATTTTCATAAATGTTTTTATATCCCCTCTGATCACAGACTAGATCATTTCAATTGCAAGGCTTGCTGCTTTGAGAGTTGTCTTTTTATGTAGATTTTTTAACGCCTCCATCGACACAATATAGATCATATAGAAGGCTAACAAGGGCAGTGAGTGATACAACATCCCAAAGACACAACGTCAGAGCAAACTGAGGTCTCGAGCCCCCGAACCTGCAATCTCACGGTTACTGGTCCGGTAGCCTAACCACAAGGCTACGGTCCGGACGGGACAGAGCACATCACCGCACAAAGATGTGGGAGGTACTCATAGTTTCTTGGTGCAAGGCTATAGGTTCGGATGGTTAAGACGGAATTAGATATTGCATGCAATGCTTCTTAATTTTTACCATGGTTTATTATACCTACTACAGCGGTAAGCTTCGTTTCACCTCAGTAACGCTATTAATATTCAAAGAGAGATGTAAAGGGACATTTTAGGCATGGTCGAAAATTCACAAAAAAATAAATAAAAGTTTTTTAGTTTGAAAAGGTCTATTTTGGGATTCATATTTGGGTCGTTCTCGTCATATTGACCGTAATACCAACTCAGTTAATATTTTTTCTTATGTCCACTGCACTGTATAGTGCGGTTTAATTGTGATAGTATGCCCCATCCTCCGAACACGGATTACGACACTTGTGTAATAAATGCATGAAAATTCTGTCCAAACCTCCCACTCCCACAAGACATTCAAGCAAGCTTTATTACTCCTCAAGGTAATCGTATTTCTAATGAATACCGTACAGTAACCGTAAATATTGTACGCCCCCGTCTACTAAAATTGGATCATTCTGGTGGCGAATTACTTCAACTCAACCGGTCAAGGTGAATCTAAGATGTTTTGTGATATACCCCAGGAGAAAAGCGTATCTGCTCTATGAAAACAAGAAATTGTGGGAATAGAACTCACGTCTTTCGCTTTAAAATCTATAACTTGAACCGTAGCATAACAGCACGCACTTCTTAATTTTTTTTAAAGAATTCTTTTTTCATTAATGTAGGTCTTTACATCACCACCACCACCCCAATACGCCCAAAACATCGACACAATTTAGATCAATTAGGAGGCGGGCGTCGATGCTATCTGTCAGGCCTACTCGGGTTGAGAGGGATATAATATCCCAGCAGAAAGACAGACAAACTTGATAGACATTCTCCCCACATTGGGGCAGAGGGGCGGGAGGGGGAGGAGGGGAGTCGAACCTAAGTCTTCTGTTTGCCACGGTGAAGCACCTATCCACTACCCAACAAACGCCCCTCTGTTAATGACTTTTATCCTTAACATCGTAAAATCCTTGGGACCTTCCACGGGCCACTTAACTCTTAGTGTACGGCGCGCCGTTTTGGCTAGTTCACGGCATCGCCATGTTGTTGACCATCAAAACAAACACCTCCAAACCACAGCCATTCCGTGTTATCTATAAACATACTGTACTTATTGCTTGGACAATTCATTTTTACTCAGTTTGGTGCATGTTTAACCTTTTTTTTTTAAGGTTAATTTTGAGTGGAGTTATAGGAGGGAAGTTTATGATGCTGAAAACTTGGAAGACAAATATCGGTTGGGTACAAAGGAGAAATAGCACTTCCCTGTACTAATGTTAAGTCTCCAAAACAGCAACAATCGGTTTCCAATGGCCAATACCCGACAACACAAAGAGAACAAAAGGATGGACAGAACTAATGGCTCAGGGCGAACCATGGTACACGTCCCAAGGGGGGTATCAGTTTACCATTCTTTGTATTGTACTTGACAGGGTAAACAACAAGGTAACATAGCCTAAATGCCTTTCTCGAGTGAGAGAAGGGAGAAAAAGCGAGGCGTGTGTAACTATAGCTCCCTTCTCCTCTTTTCTGACGCTTCAAAAGGTCTTAGTTTGTCGTTATAGAACTTTTAAGGTAAGTCCTCATTTCCTACGGATTTTAAGAATAAATCTCAAAGTGACTTCAGTTTAACATATATACAAGAGTAAGTTGTCTTTGAAAACCCATGCGAAGCAAAATGTAATGCAAGCACATACAGGCAGACGTACTTTAAATCCCATTGAGGCAATTAAATGCGTAACAACAGACCAAAACAATGCTGAATTTCTTGATCCTTTCCTCTCTTAGGGAAAGACTTAGAGACTAGAGACAGACAACCAGTTGTTCATGTTTGTAAACAGGCAGACAGACAGTGGGTGGTTGGCGGGTGCTCTGGTGCGGTTTGCTTCATCCTTCCTCTCTTTTTTTAGGTTTGTTACTCTCTTGTAACACCTCCAATCTTCTGACGCTCATATGACTTTATGCAGTTAGGAGCGCTGTAAAACCTCTACTGAAACTAAACTAAGGCAGACAGACAGAAGACAGACAGATGGATACATCGATTGACAATCCATTGTGTAAGCATATATA